TAAATTGTGTGCCACTGTGAGTAACATAATGAAATCGCCCCACCCTGGATGTGAGTCATCCTGGGTCCAGGGTATACACACTGTACACGCTAACCTGTCAGACAGTCACTTAGTTTCAGTTATTAGATTGGTTGTCAGAGAAAGCTCACACTCACATAGCCTTTCTTACAGCATATTGTGTCAGCTGCTTTATTTCATTATGTTATTATTGTTACCTTTTACTTGCCTAATTTATAAATTACACAATTACACTTCACAATAGGTTTGTATGTACAGGAAAACTCAGTATAGAGTTTTGTACTATCAGGGTCTTAGGCAAGGGGTTTGTCTTGGGCTGTATGCCCCGGGGAAAGGGGGAGGGACCACTGTACTTTACAGCACTGACTGACAGCACATAATCCTTTCCTGGTGAGTCCTTCCCTCCCCCCATGATCAGATGCCCTTAAATTATACTTTCCTGAAGGGCAGGAGGGACTAATTTACCTGTGCTGATACTAACAAGAGAAACTTCATAAATCAGAAAGAAGGATCTGTAAGGTGTGAGTAAATCAGTTAAAACTATTATTTCACTCACAAAATTCCTTTGCTTCAGAATGTGTTTGGCTTGTGTTAGCATTTGTATCCAAATCCAAAGGATTTTATAAAGAGAGGATGACAATGTGAGTATTTAGCTATGAATAAGAAGTAAAGAAAAATAATCTTCTACGAGGAATTTTCTTCTTGTTCTAAATTAAGTGACTAACTGGTATCTGAACTTATTCTCCTCGATAATCTTATTCTAGACACATGCTGTCTGGATCTCAGAATGCAGAGTAAATGCTTTACATGAAGAGTAAAAATGGAATCATTTTACATTGTTTGGAAAATGTTCAACATATGTCTTTCTCCTAGTGCTTTCCTTCATCACCAAACTTCCCTAAAGAGCAGTGAGGATGACCTTGCCTTAACTTCCTTACCTGTATTCAACTCACTGAAATCTGATTAACAGTATCCAACTCTGCCCTTCAGGGAGGGGCAAGATGCATCTCCAAACCAAGTAAGTGGTCAGAAGTAGGGCACTGAGTGGCCAAGGCTGGCACAGGGGAGCCAAGGGGATGAGCTTGGAAGGGACCTGAGGTCCAGACCTTGAGGAAGGCAGAGTTCAGAGCCATAAGAATACGGCAAAAAGAGGAGAAGCAAATTGGGATGAGGTGGGGTTGGGCTGCAGTCTGGGAGAGTGGCCAGTGTCAGGGCAGGCAGTCACCCTCCCTCTCATCCCAAGTTCGCTTGACTTCTCTTCAATAGATATGGAATTATTCAAGTTATTAATTTATCTCAAATGAGTCTGGGTAGTTGGTGTTTTTCAAGGATTTGGCCCATTTTCTCTAAATCATTGAAGTTACACAGATATTGCAGCACTCCCCAACCCTTAATGTCTGTGGAGCCTGTAGTAGTGTCACCACTTTTATTCCCAGTTTTCTGATTTTTCTTCTTTTTCTTGATCAGTCTGGCTAGAAATCCATAAATTTTTCTCAACTCATCTGTGCCTTTTTAAATTTTCAAGTCCAATGGCCTCTCTTTTATACTCAAATTATTTAACTGCCCTTCACTGTTTACCTCTTCAAGAGTCTTTGACTTCTTCCCCTCTCTCCCAGTTTTCTTATTATCAGTAGCAGTTCATTTTCATCTCTCAATATCCTGCTGGACAATCTCCTTTACTCTCATGATATCCTCCCTCATGAAAGGGCCTGTATTTCTAACTCTCTCCTGTTCATTTAATACCATTATTTCTACTTTCAGCTAATGAACCCTGATAGCAGCTCCCCGAAACCTGATTCATCATTAACTCTTTTCATTCTTGAACTTCTCCATCCAAATTGCATTTTTACTGATCCATTCCCCCCTGGATTTCTTTAACTTGTAAGGCCTAAATTCCAGCCGGCTGCTCTGTGCTCCTCCTCTGTAAGCCATTGACCACATGGAAATCAGTTACCTAGTAACATACAGAGCAAGCATATCATGCCTTTCTTCTTCAGTGCTCCCTGCTGGCTCCAAGATAAAGCCTTCTCATTACCGTACTTCCGTTATCCACAATCTGCTCTTTCTACCCATTCCCTGAACAGCGGCTGTGCCTGCTAACCTGCCTGGTAATAGACCGGGCACTTTCCTATCTCCACGTCTTTGCTCCTTCTGCCACTCTGACTGAACTCTGACTCAACCTTCCCGACTAGACTCAGAGGTTATTTACTAAAATGTATAGATATATTAAGAATGCAGTTTGGCCCAATCAGCCTGGCTCAGTGGTTGAGTGTCAATCAATGAACCAGAAGGTCACCGTTTGATTCCTGGTCAGGACACATGCATGGGCTGAGGGCTCGATCCCCAGTGTGGAGCATGCAGAAGGCAGCCAATCAATGATTTTTCTCATCATTCTCTCTCTCTCTCTCTCTCTCTCTCTCTCTTTCTCTCTCTCTCTCTCTCTCTCTCACTCTCTTTACCTTCCTCTCTGAAAGCAATAAAAATATTTTTTAAAAGAATACAGTTTGATGAGTTTTGACAACTATCTAAACCACAATCAATATACAAAACATTGTCATCAACCCAGAATTCCATCATGTCTCTCCCTGTCTCACTCTTCCCTCCACTGGAGGCAACCACTGGCCTAATTTCTCTTTGTTCAGTTAGTCTTGCCTGTTTTGTACATCGTAAAAGTGGGATCAACAGTATATGGCCTTTGTCTCCATGTCTGCCTTCTTTCACTCAGCATAGCCTTTCTGAGATTGATCCATGCTATTATTGTGTGACAAGTACTTCATTCCATTTCACTGCTGACTAATACCTTTTGTATGGATGTGCCACAGTTTAAAAATGTAAAGATTTGACTGTTAATGGACATTTAGCCTTTTTTGGGGGGCGAGGGGGAGGAGGGGGAAAAAAGAAGGTTGTATGAAGCTGTCTCCTTTCTGTTTTACCCTCTTCCAAGCTACATAGCACAGTTTATTGTGGGTGGTTCTCTCTCTCCCACATAACTATAATAGTAATCTACACTAATAAAAGAGAAAAATGCTAATTGACCATACCTTCGCTATACCAAAAGCCAATCAGAGTGAGTATGCAAATTCACCCAACAAAGATGGCAGTTAATTTGCATATGCTGAGGGAAGGAAGAGTGAAGACTGAAGACAGCTTAGAAGGAAGAGGGAGGAAATGTGGAAAGCAAAGCGGCTGCCAGAGGGAAAGCATGGGTGGGTGGGGCTGGGCGGGCGGCAGTGGAGTCGCCAAGGCGGCCGCTTGCAGAAATCTTACTGCAAATGGGCTCATAATAATAATAATAATAATAATAATAATAATAATATTGAATTTCCTTAAGGATTTACAGGTGATAGGAAGTGTGCTAAGGAATTGATTTTCATCAGATCATCCAGTCAACACAGTGGGCACTATGCTTGCACCCACTGACAGAGAGGAAATTGAGGCCTGGAGAGGACGGTTCCTTTTTTAAGTGAACCCATCAGTTAGTGTCAGAACCAAGACCAGAATTTACCTCATGCCATTATTACAGATTCTTGACAATTATACTGTAATATTAATACCTGGTAAATAGTAGGTCTCAGGTTTTTAAGATTTTAATTCAATACTTTCTGGAGAAATTGAGCACTTATCAAATATGACAACAGTTGACCAGAGAAGATACAACTTATTCCTCACTGATAAAAGCCAAGCAAGTACACCTGTGAAATGGTTTCAGATGCACTCGTATCTCAAAACAGCCCTTCTATTTTGCTTACAACTTTGTGAGACAAAACTCTGAGGGGACACAGCTGGGCAGTCCTTGCTTGGGGTCTCTCAGGGCTCCACGGTCACATGTTGTCTGGGCTGCAGACACAGGGGGCTCTCCTGCCCTGGATGTCCTTGCTGGCTCACTCACAGGGCTGTCAGCCAGTGCTGTCAGGAGGAGCCCTGCTGGCCTACTGACCCAAGGGCAACATGTGACCTCTCCAGCATGATGGTCTCAGGGCAGTCAGACTTCTACGCCTCATTCCCTCCAGAATGAGAGTCCCAAGAGAACTTCCAAGAGACCTAGCTTCAGAAATCACAGAGCCTCCCTTCCACCATGCTGTAGGGATTGAAAAAGTCACAATCTGGCCCTAGCCAGTATGGCTCAGCGGATAGAGCGTCAGCATGCAGACTGAAGGGTCTTGGGTTCGATTCCGATCAAGGGCACATACCTCAGTTGCAGGCTTCTCTCCAGCCCAGGCCCTGGTCAGGATGTGTGTAGGAGGCAACCAATCGATGTGTTTCTCTGCCATCTGCATTTCTCTATCTTTCCCTCTCTCTTCCACTCTCTCTAAAAATCAATGGAAAAATATCGTCAGGTGAGGGTTAAAAAAAAAGAAAGAAAAAGTCACAATCTGGCCCAGATAAAGAGGGCCACAGACCTCACCTCCTGGTGAGCAGGTGGTAAGGCCACAGTGTAGGAGAGCTTGCTGGATGGGAGGTGGGGTTGCAGCCCTCTTTGGGAAACAGTTCGGGCATAGCCATCTCCTTAAGATTGCTGAGCTTGGGGGCATGTCTTGTGGGCCACCGATGGTAAAGACCTTCGACTTAGACAGCCCTCTTTGGGGTCAACAGAATTGTCATCCGCTGAATGCCAATGATAAGTGGGCTCCACTAGGAAAACTAAATAAGTATAATAGATTCATTTTTTTTTTATACATTTTTAGATTTGTTTTAAAGTTATTTCACTCAGCGTGGGACAAAGAAACTATGTGTTTTCAGAAACATATAAGTAGTAAATCTACAACTTTCCCGGCCACACAGCACCAAACAAATGTCATCATACATTTAGTTCCACACATTATGTCATCAAGAGGCACTGTAGACATCTTCAAGTGAAGTCATGCTTATGGGTATCCCACAACAATTTAATCCAACCTGTTCCTACTTACAGTAAAATTGACAATCTAAAAATTCTTCACAGGGTGCAGCTTAGGTGGCCAAAGGCACTGCTCCAACCTTACCTGGCTTTGCGAATGTGCAGCTGAGGGTAATGGCTGTGCCTGTAACATATATGCACAGCAAAGTCCTCGTCAAAGGTCAGATTCGGAATGTTCCCCACTTGGTCAAACACAGTTATCAGAGTTGAACCTAAATTGCAAGAGAGAGAAATGTGGCCTCGTATTACCAAGGAATAACTACAACTTCAAAACACAGTGTAGTTCCCATTCTCAATTGTGTTTTAAGTGCTACAGTCACAGAGGCCTGGTGTACATTGTGGACCTGGAGGTCATCCTTACTTTCCATTCACCAAGGCCCCATCAGAGGGAAGGTGGGGGGGTGGGGGCAAGGGGGAGAGATCAACCAAAGGACTTGTCTGCATGCATTTAAGCCTAACCAGTGGTCATGGACAACAGGGTGGGGGTGGAGGGCTGTGTGTGGGGGGGGGTGGGGGGGGACACGCATATGTGGGGAGGGGTTTGGGATGGGAATGGGGGGATGAGGACAATTATGTGATACCATAATCAATAAAGAAATTAAATAAATAAATAAATAAATAAATAAACAAATAAATAAATAAATAAATAAGCAAGAACTTCCTGTTCCTGACCAGGGCAGAGGTAGTTGAGCAGACCTTACCGAGGCTCATGTAGGCAGGCACGATGAGAAAGATGAAGTGTAGCTCTGGCACTGCCTTAAACACAGACCTGGAGAGGGAAAGGGAGGGCAGGTGAGTGTTAACAACCGAGCAATCCCCTTAGCTGGCACCTGATTTAGACAAATGCCTTCACTAAGCAGATGAGGTGTCCAGACCTCCCTCTGCACCCCTTTGCCCCCTGCCTGCCAAGGCAAGAACTTCTTCCAGGTAGTTTCTTCTTCTTCTTCTCTACTTTTGCTTGGGTTCCCCAGCCCTTTCCTATCGGCTCCACGGAGGGAGAAAGAATAGAGGCTGCCATGTTCATGCAACACGCCAGATTTCTGCAAATATTAACCTTTGACCTGGCATCTGGAAGGTCTGGTGTGACATTTCAAGTGTGACTTGAAAGCTGAGCCCCCCTCCCAATGTCTGTGCAGGCTGTCAGCGACTCATCACAGTCACCCCGGGGAGCCCCGCTGATCAGATTTCAGCGTGTCCTATTATTCAGGATGCTTCTACAGTCTGTCATGTTAATAAACGTTTCTAAGGATAGGACTGAGGAAAACTCTAGGAGCATCCATCCCAACCTGTGATCTTTCAGGAATATCACGCTATCCCATAAATGCTACACCTCAGAGAGTTTCATGTCCTTTAAGAATATTTTAAAGCTACAGGCCCTCCATATCCACAGGTTCTACAGCTGTGGATTCAATCAACCACAGATCAAAGATTTTTTTTTTAAATGTTACATTGCTGCTGGCGTGTACTATGTAGTTAGGCCTACAATGGTTGCATCTGTACTGAACATGTACAGACTTTTTCTCCTCGTCATTATTCCCTAAGCAATACAGTATAACAATAGTCACATAAGCATTTCCATTGTTTTAGGCATTGTAAGTAACAGAGATGATTTAAAGCAGCCATTGCCAACCGGTGGTCCATGGAACACTGGTGGCCAAATGATTGGCGACTGTTGATTTAAAGTATATAGGAGGATTGTATAGAATATACACTGAGTGGCTAGATTATTATGACCTCTGAACACATAATAATCTGGCCACTCAGTATATATGTGTATATATGTATATGTGTGTTTGTGTTATATGTTATATGTTATATGTTATGTGTTGTGTGTTGTATGTTATATATAATAAAAGATTAATATGCAAATTGTCCCCTCGACCAGGAGTTCCACCAGCAAGCAGGCCGGACAAGTACCCATGTCCCCTCTCCCTGGCCAGGCTGTCCAGACCCCACCTAGGCACGAATTCATGCACTGGGCCTCTAATATATATACACTGAGTGGCCAGATTATTATACGTTCAGAGATCATAATAATCTGGCCACTTGGTTTACGTAAATACTGTGCCAGGTTATATAAGGAACTTGAACACAACAGCTTTGGGTACCCGCATAAGTTCTAGAACCAGTCCCTCTCAAGGGATGACTGTATTCACATGGTCTCTTTCATGTCATTTTGGCATTAATGTGTCTTGTCTATGGGTGCTGCTGCCTGCCCCCACGTCACCATCTAAAAGGCCCCAGCCACTTACCAAATTATCTCTTTGCAACAGCCAGTAGAATACTCGTCCACGGCCACAAAGAGGTGCATGAACAACGTGTTCAGAGGCTGCAGAAGAAAAGAGAACACAACTAAGGCTGAGTGAGCATCTGGGCTATGTTAGAGCAGGGTGGGAGGTGGGAGGTGGGAGGTATGAGGGGGGTTTGGTCATAGACACAGAGCAGCACTGTGTTTGTGGATATTTTATATCTGAAGTGATGAGATGCTCAGGCAGTGTTAGACTGTTCTCCCGTACTCTGCTCACCCGCCTTCTGTCCTCCTAGCTCAGAATTATTCAAGGTAACAGGGACCCTAAATGAGTCCAATGCAACTGGCTCTTATTCCTGCCCCCACAAACGGGCTGTGGGCAGGGAGGTGCCTGCAGGGGAGTGAAATTGATTATTAACTCAGTAGTCTTGTCCTCGGGGGTGTCAATGCCAAGTGAAAGACAATCACCCTTTCCCCGGGGCCCTTGAGTAAGCAGCTGCTGCTCTATTCAAGTGACATGAGGGAAAGAGTCTCTTATGAATTCGAAGGATGGAAGGCAGATGCCACTTATGAATCCAATGGCTTGTTTTGTTCAACATTCCCAGAGTCAGAATCAAATATTATTCTTGGGATTCAGAAAACTGGGAGCTGAAAACTCAAAGTAGCAAGATTCTAGCATGACTTTCAGGTTAAATTTTTCAAGTTTTTAAAGAGCTACGTCTTGGATCTTCTGAAGACTTCTTAAGTGCTCCAACTATTCATTATTTAGAATAATGAATAGTTGGTCTATCTATCCACAGGTTCGCCTGCTCAATTCAGTACCCCTTTGTTTATGGGCAAATCTGCAAATCGGGAGATCATGTGAGGTGGCTGGTCGGGGAGGGTAGTGCTTGCACCTAGGTCAGGACAACATAAGCACTGTCCTTGTTCATTGTTTCCTGAACAATTTTATAGGCAAATCCATGTGCCTTGGACTCCCCTGTTGTTGGAATGTGTGTGCCTTAGAACACTAGGGCATAAAATGGTTTGAGAAGCATTGTGAATTTGGTTTATCATTTCAATGGTCACCTCATCAGTTTATGGCTGACCATTGAGATGATAAAAATGATTCATTGCACTTGAGATGCTGGTTACTTTAGGCAAGTTAATGAGAGAATATTTTTAAAATATTGCTGGGTATGATACAAAATAGTATATGTTCTCCTGGGCCATCGCCAAAAACGTTTGAAATTATCCCTTCTTCCACCAGATAGAAATTATTTACATCTCAAATGGATAAACATCCATATGTTAATCACTGTTTTTACAGAATTGTAAAATAGCTCAGTCAATAGAAAGTCAATCAAAGATACAAGCATTGAATGAAAGAATCTTTCTGCACTATTTCCAAGTTTGAGATAATTTTTCTGACAATGGTTACTGGGTGGACAGGGAAGTGGGGTAAAGAAGAGGATAGAAGATAAGGGAAGACACCATGTAGCTGAATATGTGCTGGATAATGTGCCAAATGTGCATGTGTGTGCTTGTGTGTGTGCGCGCGCACGTGTGTGTGTGTGTGTGTGTATGTGTGTGTGTATGCATTTGTGGGAGGTGAACTCACTCATGAACTCAAGTGACACTCCCCAAGGCTCTGGGGACATGCTATTGAATTCCACTGACAGGCAAGTGTGCTGCCCACAGAAATGGGGGGGCAGATGCCAGCCTGGCTCTGGCAGGTGGAGGGCAGGAAGGGCTCGGATGTGGCGCCAGTCACCTGAGCCCAATGCCCTGGGAACTGCTGACCTGGCCCCTATTTGCCAACAGGTTGTCAGATGCCCTCAGCTGGAATATATCATATGAGCCATGGTCCACAAAGACACTTTGAAAATTATAGTGTGACGGGAATCTGAGGCTGTTGTCATTATTACAGAGGCAAATATGTAGATGGAACGTGCCCTTCCCATACATCTAAAACTTTGGATAAAGATACTTGGAGCACAGGGTGCAGACCACAAAGCAGATGTTCTGACACTCCCACTAATTCCTTGCTCTCAGTCCTCTTCAGCAGAGTATGGCCTGGGCCTGCCAGCAGCTGTCTGATCTGACTATTACCTACCCTTTTCTATACCTACAGACCCACCTTTCCTCCCTGCCAGCTAACTTTATTTCTAACTGTCATGACGTCACATATTTTCTGTTGTGAGTTTTAAACTGCTCAGTCCAAAACTGAAAAGATATCTATGTGAGCACAGGGCCTCCCTTCAAAACAAAGATGGTTCTAATAAGCATGTGTATGATCGCTTACTGTGCATTGGAGTTCCTTGTCGAGCTCCCAGAACATGGACACCCAGTCTTCCTGGTTGGCCACGTTCCAGTTGGGATAGTCCAGGAAGGTGGCGTGGGCCATGATCTCCTCCTTGTCATTACAGAGAGTGATGGCAAGGTTTGCCTTCTCCCTGCAGAAAGGATTAAAATTGCACACACATGTAAGACTGTGGAAAATGAAACGAGGATGTCATCTTCTCAAACCCGTTTGGCTACTGGAGCTCAGCAACCACAGCATAAGGTCTGATAACCATTGAAAGAGGTGGAAGCAATGTGACAGCCAACTTTGGGAATAGATCTTTCAGGACATCTGGCACTATCGACTACATTTTTACTGAAAATTGTATTTCATGAGAAAGCCATTACATTTATGAAATGAATTGTCCAATGCCCTCTCCTTTGAGATTAGCTGGGAAAATTACTTGACTGTAAAGTTTCTCCTGTCCATTCCATGTTGCCTATACCCGTGTTAGCCCAAACATGTGCAGTCAGTGTGGTCAGCTATCCCAGTTTAACCAGGACTGATGTGTCCAGGACATGGGACTGTCAGAGCTACAACCAGAAAAATCCTGGCAAACTGGGATGAGTTGGTCACCTGTGTGCAGCAGCATTCTTAATAATTTCTCCAAACCCTGAGCTGATTCTTATGGAATCCAAGCATTAGCAATATATCTGATCTACCTGCAGAAATGGAACCCCACAAGTTAGCGAAGACAAGGGAGGAGAGCAGGTCTTCCGATTCCTCTGGTGGCTGTCCCAAAGGGACGTTTTGAGGGTCCCTCCCAACAGCTACTCTGGCATGTGGCCCATCATGGCAGCAAGAGCTACGACTTACAGACTGTATACACGTTACTTCACGGAGAACCATTTGTATTATATAAATTGAAACGCAATTTTCACTTTCTTAGCTAAGTGAGATTGACTGGTATCTTAAGTTGGAGGGGGAAAATTTTTTTCATGTTCCTTTAAAAAACAAAGAAGGTTCCTTTAAAAAACAAAGAAGGCAGAAGTTAACCATCCCTTAATAAGGGGAATACATGAGAAGACAGCATATAACTGAAGGAGAAGAGACAATGGAGACAATAGAGAGAAAATTATATATACTCTCCAGTTACACATTTATCACCCAAGTATTGTATTGTCAGTCCAGTAAATAATTTGAAAGTGCTCACAAGCAAAAAGAGAAAAAATAATTTGAAGAATTATCCTTGATACCACCTCCCATCTATAGATAACCAACCTTTGTCAATATTTTGGTGTCAATTTCTCCTGATTTGCCTTGTTTTCAGGCAAGCCATGCACTGAAATGCGCTTTGTGTGTGTGTTTTTTTAATGAAATAGCACAACCCATACTGTTAGCAGCCTGTTGTTTGCTTTTTCCCCACCTGACAGCATATTATTTTCCAAAAAAAACAAAAAAACAAAACAACAGTCTCTTACACACATGTACTTCTTGTTCTAATTTTTTGTCTTTAAACCTATTCATTTTGGCTTAAATATGTATATTTTAACAGAAAACTTACATCACTATCATAAATGGAAAACCAGTATCCCTTGCTAGAAAGAGAGAATAACTATAAAAATAAAGACATAACATTAAAAAAAAAAATGTCCTGTGCATGTATCAAGTCAAATCACCTTGGTTACCACCAGAGGTAGGGGCATCTTTGGGAAACATTGTGCGAGGGATGCTGATCTCAGCACCTACATCCACCATCCCCTCTCATAGGAAGTCACATCCCACAGCCACAGGGGACTTCACCACGGGTGCACCCAGCCCAAGGGCCCCACCAAAGCACGGGCTATCATGGAGAAAAGGCAGCAGGCTACTCTCAGGTCCCGAGATTACAGCATTCACACACAGGACTTCTCAGCAGAAGAATGCACCCCCAACCTCTCCAGATGACTCACTGAAGCCCTGCAGAGGCTCCCTCCGGCTCCTGGGCTCCTGGGCTCCCCTGCCCCAGGCTCCCAGAGCTTCATACTGAGAGTTCTCACTCTAGTTCTGGCGAGAAAATGCCCAGGGCATAGGACCCCTGGCATGTCAACCATGATGATGGTGGTGGTGGAGGAGGAGGAAGTGGACAAGAGCTGAGACAAGTCAACTGCCATCCCTTCAGGAAAGCAAGGGAAATGTGTTCCTGGAATCCCAATTTGAACTTAAAATGCATTTATCCATTGGAACCCAGGGTGGTGATTGGGTTCAATAGTACAATTAGCACAGTACTGAATGACACAGACATTAAACTAGAGGCCCAGTGCACGGATTCATGCACAGATGGTGTCCCTCGGCCTGGCCAGCGAGCGAGGCCTATCGGGGGGAGGGACCATGGAAGGTTAGCCAGGGAGGGAGGGGCTGCAGGAGGTTGGCTGGGCAGGGAGGAGGGGCTGCAGGAGAGTGGCTAGGGGTGAGGAAGGTGGTGGGGGTAGGGATGAGCTGTAGGAGGTTGGCTAGCCGCGGGAGGTTGGCTGTGGGAGTGCACTGATCACTAGGGGGCAGCCCCTGCGTTGAGCATCTACCCCATAGTGGTCAGTGCACATCTTAGTGACTGGTCAACCAGTTGTTCCGGTCATTTGGTCATAACGGTCAGTTAGGCTTTTATAGATAGATAGATAGATAGATAGATAGATAGATAGATAGATAGGATTTTGTAGGTTGGCCTGGAAAGCCAGCCACGAATAACTTGGTTTCATTGGGAAAATTCACTGCAATTTCCAAATGGCTAACTGCAAATGTAACTTCTGCAGCATTATCCTTTGCACATATACTTTCCACTTCTTGCTCTATGAACAGAATTCTGATTTCTATTGGTGAATAATACCTTTGAACTTTAACATATTTTGTATAAAATATGTGTGTGTGTTTGTAAAAGGCCTCCTTTGGTTATGATTTGGCTTATTAAATATAAAGAATCATTTTAAAACAGCTTTAAAAGCACGCCTTCCCCCTCTACCTTTTTCTTCCTCTTTTCTTCTTCACTCCCACAATGATTTTTACTTGTCCTAGAGATGATATCATAACTGATTTTTTGTTTACTTGATCTCCCATTTATTAAGAAAGGTATTTTAAAATCTCCAATTATGAAAGTGGATATATCTATTTCATATTTGGCTCTATTACTTTCTGCTTTATTTTAGGACTGTCATTAATAGCATACAAGTTTAAAGCTGTCACACCTCTCTAAAAATCTAAATCCTCTTTAGCTGTATAATGCTTTTTGCTCTAAAGTATATTTTGTCTATTACTTATATAACAACACTCGCCTTTTTTAAGTGAGATTTTGGCTGGCAGTCGTTTTCCCCCCAGTACTCTGACTTTAAACACTTCTGTGCCCTTGTATCTTAGGTGTTTTTCAAACACAAAAAAATATGATGGAATTTTGTGTTGCTCTATTTCAGCCAATCTGCACACCTTTATCTTTTAACTGAAGATTTTTTCCCAAACACATTTATTGATATTAGTGATATAGGTGAATTTTTTTCTACCTTTCTATTATGTGATTAATATGTCCCACATTTTATTTCATTTTTCATCTTCCTATCTTGCCTTCTTTATTCAGAGTTTGTTTAAAAATTCTTATTCCCTATATAGGTCCACTTTTATTTAATGGGCTTATATCTCATTCATCCTTACAATGAACAAGCCAGTTTTATACAAAAGAATCTAATACTTCCATCCTTAGGTGGAGGGAGTATTTATTTTCTGTTCTTTGCAAAGCTGTCAAACACAGAATCGTGAGGTTTCTAGAATATAGCATAAAGTACTCGAGGAGAAAGTGGTATTAAGACCTACTGTTCTTGCCCTAGCCAGTTTGGCTCAGTGGATAGAGCATCAGCCTGCAGACTGAAGGATCCCAGGTCCAATTCCAGTCAAGGGAACATGCCTGGGTTTCGAGAGCTCGATCCCCAGCAGAGAACGTGTAGGAGGCAGCCAATCAATGATTCTCTCTCATCGTTTCTATCTCTCTCTTCCTCTCCCTTCCTATCTGAAATCAATAATAATAATAATAATAATAGACCTATTCTGTTTTTTATTTCACTCTGATGTTTTCTGCATAGTTCTTAACTTGTGTATGTGAATGTGCATGACTGTATATATGCATGCATGTGTATATGTGTGTGTGTGTGTGTGTGTGTGTGTGTGTGTGTGTTTCAACATACTTTTTCCATCCAGAGGACATCATCAGGTATTTAACCCACAATAATACCAAAATATGAAATAATTTAATTGATGCATACATTTTAAAGTATTTTATACATATTGCCCTACTGTTTTCTAACAAAATTGTGCCATTTTACATTATACTCATCAGTGTGCTGATCAGAAATGACAAATTTTAATGTCTTAGGTTGGTCTCAGTTTAAACATTTCAATTGTATTTAATATAAATCTTTATGAAATCCACAATACTGAGCTAACTCTTATCTTCTTCAATAAAAATAGGAGGAAAGATTACAGGATATTTATATTCTGGTATCCAAAAAAGCAAAACAAGGGAAAAAGAACTTTTTTAAGAAAAAAAAATCTATACAGATTTTGAAATTTAGAAGAATATTTTAACAGCAGTGGATAAGAGCAAAACCAGGCTTTGTCACTTACTAACTGCTTGACCTTGGCAGGCCTCCATTTCTCATCTGTAAGATGGACATGATAGTGGCTACCTCAGAGAGGTGTCAGTGTACTAAATAAGATCATGTTGGCAAAGCACAGAACTTGGTAGAAAATAAATTCTCAAAACTGGTAGCTAATATTATTAACTTGCCCCATGTGAACCTAACAGTAAGTGGGGCAGTTGAGATTTGAACCCAAGTTTATCTGAATCCAAAACCCATAAGAAACCCTTCGACCTGCATATTGCTACAAGACTTAGAGGTTGGTTGTTCCCAAAGATCTCCTGCTCAGTAGGGTAGATTTTCTTGCTGCCCATTTCCTTGCCAAAGACTCCATAAAGACAAAGAAAGGGGGGACTGAGGTTCCTTCCTGTTGTGTGATAAGACTGATAAACATAGTTAAGCTTACTTGACTACATACTTACAGAAGATAGATGATATTAAGCCTCCCAAACAGCTTCTGGGTAAATTTTCTAATTAGGTTTTTGATACAAAAAATATCCCGTGACTCTGTTCTTCGGCAGTGAACAACTTCTACCTTTCCTCTTGGAGAAGTGAGTATTGACATTTTTTATCCTGTCCCCAAAAAGAGATAAAACAGCCCACTGTTAAATGAGAGGACAAGCCAGTCCAGTTACAGTACAAAATTGGACGTTAACTCAATTTCCGTAAGGTCAGAGTGAACATGGTATTAGAGTGCTGGTGAGACACATTTTCCCCTGGGGGTAGGCTGCAACGACTGACTGTCACCACATATCAGTTGATATGTTTCTCTCCAGGACAATGATGTTTCTGAGAATTGGCCTGTCTAGAAATTCCTGCAACTGTGGTCTTTGTTTCCAATGAAGCTGCTTTAAAGGATTCTAACAGTAGGCTTGAACAACAGTGAAAGGAATTATTCACTGATCCGGGGTCCTCTAAATGTAATTAGCCACCACTGTATGTGGCCAAGAGTTACAGGGGAATCTGGACAGCTGCTGCCCTTGTTCCAAACAGAGTTCCCCAAACTGGAGTCCTGAAGGGCAGTGATCCTGAGAGAGATTTTGAGAAAAAACATTACATGGTTAAATAGGTATAGGAAATGCTGCTTGTGATAGCATTCCTGACAGGCCATCGTGCTCGTTAAAGACCTTGAGAAGTTCCATAAAAAAGTACCTGCTTTCTTTGTATAGCCAAGCCTTTCTGAGAATCGCTAATGACAACAGTGGGGAGTCAAATGTTCAGAAAGACATATAATGGAACGTACAACACCAAGAGTGACCCTAATGTAGACTATGGACTTTGAGAGTTAATATGTCAATGTAGGTTTATCAAGTATGACTAATATACCACTTTGGTGGAGGATGTTGATAGTGGGGCGGTAGGAGGGTGAGAGGGTTGGAGGAATAGGCATTCTCTGCATCTTTCAAATTTGCTGTGAACCTAAAATTGCTCCAAGAAATAGTATTTTTTTAAATTCTCTAAACCATTTGCTTGCATATAAATAATATTTTCTGTTTTTAAAGGCATGACAAGAATTATACTAGCTAACACTTATTTAGCGTTACATAAATTTTCTCTTCAATCCTACTTAAATAGATATTATCCTCGTCTTATAAAGACATTGAGGCCAAGATAATGCATGTAATTAAGGCAGACTAAGAGAATTTAAACATCTGTTTATCTGACAACAAGGCTGGCTGGTTTGCTAGTCTACTGATTTATTTTTATTTTGTATTATCTGGCTTTAAAATACCTTGTTATTTTTTAATAAACTTTTAATAACATTGGAGTTAATTACGTATTTGAGCACTACTGTCCAGAAACGAAGGGTCGTTGGTTTAAGAAACTACAAAACCTACAATGCAACGCAGCTCCAGGCTGCCCAGGAGCGCAACGGTCCGCCCCTTGGCATGCTGGGAATAGTAGTTTTTCGGCCTGCCTCTCTCTCCCACCTTGGAGCGTCAGATTGGCATTGGTTCCTACCCGCCTTGCTGGGCGCCAAAACTAAGCAGATCCAGCGGTTCTCACGCTGTGACCCAGTCCCGGACACTGACCTGGATGCGTCCTTGACGCCCTGGACCTCAATCCTCGCGTCCCTGCTGGGAAGACCAGCTCTATCCACCTCAGCCCAACTCCCGGACACTGCGCTCTACACCCGGCTCTAAGGAGGACGCGCAGCCAGGTTACCATAGGAACGGCGCTCCCTGGGTCACGGAGCGTGCTGGAGGTTAAAGGTCAAATCCAGTTCCGTTTCCGCTTCCGGGATCCCGCTTGTTATTAGAAAGTTTGCGGCGTCGGGGAGCCTCCGGGCGGCTATTTAGGACCCAAGGTTTACCGAACGAATTCTGCTGCAGCCATGGCGGCCTCCACTGCGGCTGGGAAGCAGAGAATTCCCAAAGTGGCCAAGGTAGGCGATAGCGGGGGTGGGGATGGGGGGGGGGGCGCTTTGTAGCGAGGGCTTGCCACGGACTCCGTGGAGAGAGGGTTGTCCGAGATTGCAGGGCCACCCCGTGCGGGGCCTCGGGTGATAGAGAAGGAAAGAGAGAGGCGGTAGGGGGGTGCAAGCTCTTGTCAGCGGAAGCATATCCCGCATGTCGACGTAGCCTTCTTCTGGGAAGGTGTTTTTTGCGGGTGGAGGAGTGGAGAAGGTTCGCTCAGCAGAGATAACAGCCAGGCAGGGCGCTAGGCACTACGGAGCTGCACTCCGATGCTGGCCACGAGCAGCACTCAAATGAGACACACGTGCAAAATTGCAACCGCGCCAGGTGCTACGGAGGCCAAGTAGATTGTGCCGAGGAGTAGCGGGGGTTGTATGAGCAGGTCTCCAATGTAAACGGTGCTGAGATGCGACATTTAAGCCGAGACTTAAAGGCTGAAAAGGAGTTAGCCCAACTGAGAGTGGAATGAGAGTAGATGACAACAACTGTGTAGTGGTATAATTTAAGTTAAACAATAAATTTGATATCTAGTATTTCCTTCGTGGCTGATACCCACCAATGACTTATTATGTAACAGGCTTTGTTCTAAGCCTGTACAGATACTCTCCCTCCAGTCTGTTCTTCAGCCCAGAAGACTCTCTGGAGCCTTTCTTTACATGTCCATGTAGATGACTTCCGGAGATAATGTATATAAAGCGTATAGCACAGTATCTAGTTCTTAATGCTCATTAGGTATGAGCTATCATCATCATTGTACAGCACTAAATAATTAGTATTTCCTATAATTCCATTGCATAACCTTTGGTCCAATAGAAGTAAATGAGCCCCATATGTAATTTAACCCTTTGCACTCCGAACCATTCTGGACATTGGCTACCAGCTACTCGACGCTATTTTGCGGCGGAAACGTGCGTTGAATTAACTCAATTCCCCGTAATCACTAATAAACCGCAATGTCCCCCCTGAGAGGGGACATCCGAGTGATATGCTAGAATTCCGATGTCCCCTGAGAGGAGACAGCGGAGTGCAAAGGGTTAAGTTTTCTCATGGTGACGTTAAAACGTCAAAGCAGGTGACATTAATTTTAGTTATATAGTTTATTTAACAACTTAGTGTGTCCATGATACTGTCATTTCAACATGTAACCAGTATAAAAATTTAATTAGGTGATTTGTTCTTTTTTCATGCGAAGTCTCCAAAATCCACTGTATATTTTACACTTATAGCCCATCTCAATTTGGACTCACCTCATGTGGCTCATGGCTATTGTATTGGACTGCACAGCTCTTAGAGCTGATTATATTGTAATGATGGCAACTTACCGAACATTGTCTTGGACTTGAAATGCCATGAGAAATCAAACTCAGCTACCCACCTGGGGCATTATCACCCACCTGGGGCCTGTGTTGAAGAATTACCTAAATAGAGATTGTAATGCTAGATACGCTATGGTCTGCATCTTGACAAACAAAACCTCTGGTGAGAGTTTTACCTAGGCATCCTCAGAACATTTTATTTTACTAATCTAAAAGGAAAACTTGCTACTTTTGCTATCTTTTCTCTTGAGACTTTTACCTATGGCTTCTTAATAGCTATCATACAGAAGCTAGAACACATATTTTTTTTTGCTGTTTGGTTGCCCAGAGAAATGGGAACATGTCATACAAAGAGGGCATCTTGTGATATATAAAGTTCACATCGTAAAAAACTGTTTGTTTGTTAAACCTTGTGTGCAGAGCATCTACTAAAAAAAGAAATGTCTTGTCTTAAAAGGTGAAAAACAAAGCCCCAGCTGAGGTCCAGATCACTGCGGAACAGCTTTTAAGAGAAGCTAAAGAAAGAGAACTTGAGCTTCTTCCACCTCCACCTCAACAGAAGATTACAGATGAAGAAGAGTTAAATGATTACAAACTAAGGAAAAGGAAGGTCAGTCAATGCGATGTCTTTCAGTATATCAGTACTGTTAAGGATTTATAGGTCGGAGTTTGAAAAATTCCTCATTGTTTATCTAAATACTAGAGACCTGTGGCACAAGTACCGTCTCTAGGGCCTTGCTGCTGGCCAGGGCCTTCCTTTGTTCTGCGCCACCGCCTGGTGGTCGCACCTGTCATAGCGAGTAATCAAACTCTCAGTCTCCAGTTGAATGCCTGAGGGGACACTTAGCATATTATTAGCCTTTTATATAGATAGATATAAAAGGCTAAGCGACTGACCAGGCCAGTAGGTATGACACATACTGACCATCAGGGGCAGGCGCTCAATACAGGGGCTGCTGAGCAACAAAAACTTTGCAGAGTGCCTCCTCGCACTCCAGGACCCCTCAGGGATGTCAGAGAGCCAGTTTCGGCCCAATCCCCACAGGCCAGGCCGAGGTAACCCACCTGCTAGAGCACATGTGTCAAACACAAGGCCCGCGGGCCAAATCCGTCCCGCCAGGCCTTGCAATGTGGCCCGCACCTCGCTGTCATCACTGCACTCCGCTGCGTTTCCATCACAATGACAGTTTATGACTGTTCAGTAAACCATTTGGCCCGCGATTTAGGCTGGATTTTAGATTTTGGCCCCTTCTCTGATTGAGTTCGACACCCCTATGCTAGAGGGACCCTGCTCACTCCGCAGATGCCCTTCGAGCCCCAGCACCACCCCAGGTGCAGCTGACTGGGAAGGGACCTCGGAAGGTTGAACTTTATTAAGTATACCAGGAATTGTCTGTTTTAGAGTAGGAAGAGATTAAGTCCAAGAAAGACATAATTCTTGGTGCTCAATTGAAGATTGGTAAAAGATTAACAGGTGAAACAACTGACAGCTAGAAGAAAGGTGGACTTAGCAAGGCTATGTTATATGCTGCTTCTGCCGTACCAGCACCTGTGTTGAGTTAAGATGTGGGAAAGGGCATAAGAAGACTAGAGATCTGATCTGATCTTTTTACTCTAGAATGTGGGGTTATTTTAAACCACTAATTTTGTTGTACCTACTTAATTAGTAATCCTCATTGAGTAATGTATGAAATTCTGTGACATTACCAAAAAGACCCAGTCAAAACACATTTTCTTATTAGAAACAAGTATATTACAGTATCAGTTGTTATAGGCAATAAGAGAAAATATCAACAATTCTGCAGTAATTCTTTATATCTAAAATTTTCCTTTTGCTTGCATATAAGACACCTATGATTGTAACCTTCTGTAGTGGATTTCTTATTTCTCAGAGATTCCAGGATGCAATTTCTTTTATATAAGAATAAAATGAGTAAGTATCCTTTTTAGTATAGGATTAATAGAAAAAGGATAATGTTATTTTTAGTTTTCTCTTTAATTTGATCCATTTTGCCTTTGTAGACTTTTGAAGATAACATAAGAAAAAACAGGACTGTAATTAGTAACTGGATAAAATACGCACAATGGGAAGAGAGTCTAAAGGAGATTCAAAGGTAAAATTGTTGAGCATGTAATTTTTTTTGTTTTATTTTCTCTTTTCTTTATTGATTAAGGTATTACATATGTGTCCTTATTCTCCCCTTGGCCCTTCTCCCCATGCCCTCACCCTCTGATGTCTGTGTCTATTGGTTATGCTTATATGCATGCATACAAGTCCTTTGGTTGATATCTCCTCCTTACCTCCTCTGCCTTCCATCTGAGATTTGATGGTCTGATCGATGCTGTAATTTTATGCATAAAGATGTCATAAGTTAACAGTTACAAAAAAAAAATAGAAAAAGTTAAAGTACAAATAGAAGATTGTGTCTTTGTTAGTAATTTTCAGTTTCTTTCGTAGAACCTTGGGATTCTTTTGAGGGCTTCAGGGGCCCTGTTTTAGGCTAGTGTTGGGGGGAGCAGAGCAGGAGGCTGTACAGGTGGGTTTTTCCACCAGCACACACCTTATAGCCAGAGAAGTGTAGTTTCGTCTGCTTTCTCTGTATTGGGATTTTTTGTTGTTTTACAGATGTCCCTCTTTTTTCTCCCTAATGCCCCCCTCCATCCGGTTCCTGCCCCACTCTAGGCCTTCTACACCCTATTATCTGTATCCATAGGTAATGCATGTATGCACATAAGATCTTTGTTTAATCTCTTCTTACCCCCCACCCTTCTTCTCTCTTAGAATCGTCAGTCTGTTCCATTTCCATGCCTCTGATTCTATTTTATTCACCAATTTATTCTGTTCTTTAGATTTCTTATTCGTTTATTTTGATTTTTAGACTCAATTGTTGATAGGTTTGTATTTGTTGCCATTTTGTTCATATTTTTTATCTTTTTCTTCTTCCTCTTCTTAAAGAATACCCTTCAACATTTCATATAATAGTGATTTGGTGGAGATGAACTCCTTTAGCTTTTTCTTGTCTGTGAAGTTCTCTATCTGACCTTCCATTCTAAATGATAGCTTTGGTGGGTAGAGTAATCTTGGTTGTGGGTCCTTGCTATTCATTACTTTGAATATTTATTGCCACCTGCTTGTGGCCTGTATAGTTTCTGTTGAGAATCAGCTGACAGTTGTGTGGGCATTTCCTTGTAACTAACTGTTTTTTTCTTGCTGCTTTTAAGATTCTCTCTTTGTTTTTAGCCCTTGACATTTTAATTATGATGTGTCTTGGTGGGTCCTCTTTGTGTTCCTCTTGTTTGGGACTCTCTGTGCATCCTGGACTTGTAAGTCTATTTCTTTCACCAGGTAGGGCAAGTTTTCTGTGGTTATTTATTCAAATATACAGTGAGATTTTTTAAAGTAAAAATTATTTCACTGAAAA